GAGCCGTGCCCTGTGCAGGGGATATTAATTCTGCCCTAAGGAGGGCTGATCACACCTGGCTGATGGGCACAAAATCTCACAGAGCCGAAATAAGAACCGAGGCGTAAGATTTGCCATGCACCGGTCCCAGGATGCATCGCCGCCTGCCCCGGTGGACTTGGACCACGTCACAGCCAACAGCCTCCACAAATCCCCAGGCAAGGCTCCAACATTTATTTCCAGGGCTATCACTCCATCGACAACGTCTTACTCTGGTTCCTTCCTTTCTTTTCCACCCAACGCTCTCTGATGGATGGTGGCGTGGGAGAATGGCAGCAGCTCGCCCCTCGGTTATTAAAGTGCTGCTTTTCCTTGTCTTGTGCCATGGGCTGGTTCTTTGCTCCAGCCAGCCAGGGACCTGATTAGCCAGAAAATTAGGATTTAATATTTAATATTGTCCTTTTTAGAATGAGCTGGGTGGGGTTTTTTGTTTTCTGTATTTTTTTTACTGGAGGAATTCTTTTAAGAAAATGCTTATGGGTGGGAAGAGAGGAGCAGGTCAGGACGGTGCCCAGAATGAAGTCAATAAACCAGAGAGAAAATCCAGCTGTCCTGTCCATGTGAGAGCTGCGAGGCATCAGTTTCTAGCACTGCCCATCCATCCTTCCCCCCTTTGTCTGTCTGTCCATCCCCCCAGCTTGGTTACCCCTGTAACTCTGGTGCGTCGCTGAAAACCTCACCAAATCCCAACGTGCGTTTTACAGCCTGGGCTTCTCTGTGCTGGGTCAGGACCGCGGGTGAAGGGAGGTTTCCTGCTGGGAGCAGAACTGAGAAGCAGCCGAATCCCAGCGGATTCACCCTGGCATCGCCCCGGCTCATCCCGGCGTCCCCTAGGCATCGCCCTACCTGCAGCAAGGATGCCACGCAGTACGGTTATTTCCATTATCGAAATGGCTCCCATTGGAGCAAAATCTGGGCTTTTCTGTAAGGAAAACACCTGCTGGTTGTGGAGATTTTGCACAACCCCCTTCCCTGGCCCGTCCATGTGCTCCTTTTGCATTTCTTTCGGTGGGGAGCGAGGCCTGAGCTCCGTGTTTGCCATCGGCTTCACCTCCCGCTTGGCAAGCACTGAAGTGCTCCTGATCTGCAAACGCTGCAAAACGTCTCCACTAAAAGAAAAAATGCTCATAACCATTGCCACAGAATGACAGAACGGAATAAATAAATGAGGGGGAATGAAAATTCCAGGCATGCTCAGAAAAAAAAAATAATAATCCCTTTTCCCTTTCCTAAACCGGGCTGCAATAAATGCAGGACCTGAATCACTTGACGGTGTCAGTTTAACATCAGCGTGGCATCGGTGCACCCCTCAGTCAGGGACTGCGGACTCGAGGGCACTGAAACTGCGCTTGGGAACAGCGAGTTTTGGAGCTGGCTCCTCGCCGACTCCCCACACACCCGCTGCTGCCCGGGAGCTGACGGTGCGGCCGTTGCAGGGTGCTTTTCCCATGGGAAGTGCCAAGAGATGCCCATTCCCAGCCCCTTGGGTGCAAGCTCTGGGGAGGAGCTGTGAAGCACTGGGAGAAAAAGGGATCCAGGTTGTGAAAGAGGAGAATGCTGGAAGTTTTAATGTTTCCCTTTTTTAGGCACCTGTACGTGTGCACACACGCCAACGCGTGCCAAAACCACTCGCGCCATCGTTAGCCCCATGCATGGTCCCTGACTGCTGTGGGCGTACACGGCTTCGCCCCAAATGGCACCCAAGGGTTGGGATGGGGCTGGGGGTCTGTGGGGACACACACGGCGTTGCGGGTCGTGGGTCTGTGCCAGCCCCTGCGTGTGCAGTGGGTCGGGCTGCCCGCGGGCACGATGGATGCTGTGAATATTGATCACCGCTGATGAATCCCTGCTGTCCCGCTGAGTAATTACAGCGCGTTTCACAGCGGAGCATCATCCATCAAATGCTGAGCAACGGTAAAGAAAAACTCATCAGATGCTGGATGGAGAGCCCCCTCTCCCTCGCCTGCCCCTCCCTCCTCATCCTCACTTTCATCTGCCCATCCCATCCATCCAGGCTGCTCTTCTTCCCCATCTCCAACCTTTCCAGGGTGGGACTCCCATCCTGAGCTGGGTCCAAGGACATGGGCTGCCCACGTCTGCTGCTGCAAGGAAGAATAGAAATACAGCTCGTGGCTTTCCTCCAGCCCTCCCAGCACCGAAGCACACGTTAAACATGTTATCACCCACCCGCTACCCTCCCTCTCCTCCTCACCACCGCCCCAAGCTCCCCACCATGGTGGCCCTTGCCCAGGGCAGCGCAGAGACCCCAGCTCCAGGGGCTGCTGATCCCAGATGCATCCTGCAATGCACAGCCCAGTGAGCCAGGGCTATTTTGGGAGGCTGGAGCAGGCGAGGATTAATCCTCAGCACGGCAGCACCATTAGGTTTTGTCACCTGCTATCCATCTGCCTCTAAGGAGCTGGCTCCATGCTGCTCCCCCCCTCCCTTCGCTTTTTCTCACGCAGAAAAGCCCAAGGCCCAAATCCACGCACAGCGCCCAGTGTAAACTCCCCTGTCCCTACCAAAGGGGACTCGGACCTCCCGAGGGTCTGGCTGAGTCACACACAGAGGAGAAAGCCATCCCTGTTTTCTCCTGGAGCTTATCTGCATTGCATATATATGCTACGTCTATATAGAAAGTGCTAATTATACTTACAATTATAATTAGCACAGAGGGGGAGCCGTCACCCGGATGTACCTATGGCTGTGGGTGAGCAGTCAGTATTTGTGACCGAAAAACCTCATCCTCTGTGGGTGTGGAAGCAGCACTTGCCCTAAGGAGACTCGTCCCACAAATAAATAAATGCGCGTGCGGAACACCTACCTGTGGGTGCCCAGGGCTGAGCATGGCCCCTGCACCCCCCGGCACCCCCGAGCCAGCGCTGCAGCGCCCGGAGGGGTATGGTCCACCCTGCTCTTGCATTTTGGTCTCCTCCAGGAGGTTTTTTGAAGGGCATGTCCACAAACAAGACCCTTCTCTGCGTCTGGAACACGACTCGTTCTTGGCCATTACTTGCCATCCCTGCACCCGGCACCTTGACAAAGAAACAAAATTCAGAAAATTAGGAATGGTTGCAGAAATCCAACGAACTTCCCCTCCCCTTGATCAAAATCTGCCAGCCTTCAGCCTTGCCCCAATGCCACATAAAGAGCTGTGTCCTTACCAGTGAGCCAAGCCAGGGCATCTTCTTCTTTTCATTGATTTTATTTCTTTTTTGCAACTCCAAAAAGAAACACGGAGGAACGGATGGGGCAAGGCTGGTGGCTGCACCTGAAGCACCAAAGACACCGAGCAACACGCACCATGTAATCAAAGGGAAATTAAACTTCTCCACTAGGAAGTTTTGCTTCCAACATTGCAAATTAATTACTGGTTTCAAGCAAAGGTGCCGTTGGTGGCAGCCCCGGGAGATGCTGTGGCAGCAGCTCCGGAGGGACGGCAGATCCCAGCAGCTCCCGCAGATGCTGCTGCTGGGACCGGATCCAGGCAGGACAAACCCAGCTTTGCAAACTGGTGCTGGGGAGACCCGTGGCAGCCTTGCCTTCAAATTAGAGGCAGAAGCATCTGAAAGGACAAACCTACTAGGGAGAAAACAGGAATTTAATTACTCAGTATTTCAATATTAGTTGGAGATGAGGGTCAGAGACCATGACAGGGCGGCAGATGCTGAGGACGGGAGATTATTGGAAACTGGGGCTTTTCATGAATCAGGCTGACAATTGTCTGAGCTCAGGAGGCAGAGGACGTGCTGGCAAGGCGGGCAGAGGCTGGGCAAGGAGGTGAGAGCCAGGATGAGGCCTCGAAGCAGGTAACTGTACCTGCCCCCTGCAGAATTTGGGGCACTCAGGCTGAACAACGGAACGGGAGAAAGGGAAAAATGTCCCCTGGCTCCTGCAGGGTTCTGCGTCACGGCAGTGGGTCTGTGCCTCTGCCCCAGCAGAGCTTCATGCTCGTGGAGGACGTGAACAGTACCTGGATCCTCGGCGAGCAGCAGCCTCCAGCAAAACCCGGGGTCTGCAGTGAGGGGCTGGGCAGCAACGGGGTCCCCAATGGTGCACCACCGCCTGCGGCAACGTGAACCTGCGCAGGGAGGGAAAACGCATCTTAGTGAAGAGAGACAAGGCAAGAGCCCTGCTAAGGTGAGAAACCCTCCCCAGCCGGCAGCCAGGGACCAGCCTGGCTGCAGAGCCCGGCCCTGCTGCGTCCGCGTGGCTCGGCTCCTGTCGCCATCCACCGGCAAATCCCACCGCCCATCGCAGGAGCCCCCGGCCCGCCATCAGCATCACTAGATGGGATTCAAGCCCCAAATTCCCCATTCCCAGCCCTTTGGGGCTGGCCAGAGGGCTGCCATGCATGGTGCCAGGTGGGATCCCACCCTGCAGCACCCAACCCTGTCACCCACCGCACGGGGAACAAACTCACTGCGGGGAGATGCTCGAGGCAGCGCAAGAAATCCCTGCGCGCGTGCGTCCCTTTGCTTTGCAACCGCTTTGCGCCCGCATCTGGGACGGCTGGGACGAAAAACACCATCAGGGTAAGTGATGTCCTGGGCTTCAGGACAACACTAGCAAGGAAGGACTCTTTTTTTTTTTTTTTTTTTTATACATTAGAACATTTATTTCTCAGAGAGAAAATATAGTCTCAGACAGTCAGATTATAGTAGGTAAAATTAGCTTTTTTTTTTTCTCTTTACAAGCATAGATTTTCTTATTACCTCTCTTATACCATCTGATATAAACAATTCTAGAAAGCAAATAAACTCACTTTCTACAATAAATAGAGCGATCTGTGCTTTACAGCAGACTGACAGTAACGTTTAGGTCCCGTAGCAACAGCAGGATTAGCCAATTCAAATCCTAAAATATCATTTAAAAACAGAACAAAACCAAACCCAAAAAAACCCCAAATCCCAAGATCTTAAAACATATACACAGGTCACGAGTCCACAGCTGAGCTACCACCTGGAAAAGTGTATGTTCCTTTAAATAAATTACACTGTGTGCATATAAAAGACCCAGCAACACAACTGAGGACTTCCAAGAATGGTGACAATAGGTCTAAATAATTTAGAACAATATTTTACAACTATATACACAACATCCTTCCCTAGCCACACTCCATAGGCATTATTATTATTATATTATTATTATTTTTACAAAATCCTATGCCCCATCTCTATATGTTACAGGAATCTTCCTTAAAGTGTGGTTCCATGTCCCAATGTATAAGAAGTGGTATTTTAAAAAAGTAGACCAAGTAGAAATGGCAGTGATTACTCCCCCCTATTCACTATTATTATTATTATTTTGACCCCACATTCTCTTCAGTATGAAAAAGTTAAAATAATAAAAAAATATCGAGTTAAAAAGCGAAATGATGATATTCAATCTACAATCTTGCTCTGCACCTTTGGTTCTTAAAATGGGAAAGCAAAAAGGGATACACAACAGAAGCGATCAGAGAAATCATAAAGTCCTTGGCTGATAGAAAAGGTTTTGTCATCAAGTTTTCCAAACATCGGTTGTCCCTGTTTTTTTGCAATGCAAACCCAAAAAACCAGGGATTGTCTGCAGAGCTGGGTTTACTTGGGTTTTAATGGATGACAGCGCTGGAGACCCACACGCCGGGGAAAGGATATGTGTGTGTGGGAGAAGGCGAGAAGGCAAAATGGTCGTGTGCTCTAGTTAGTGCTTGGCTTCAACCCAAACCGAGCCAGAGGAAAACGTTAGAGAGACAGAAAAAAGGGAAGAAAGGAAGAGGAGCCTTACACCAAATGTGCATAAACCAACACAAAAGATGCATCTCCCTCCAACCCTGATCAACCTCAGTGCCTGCAAAGCTGCTCCAGCTCGCTAGACACCTCCAAAATTAGTTTTGCTTTTTAAAAAAAGGAAGTTATCTTTGCTTAGACTCAGAACTGTACTAAACCGTGATACGAAATGTTACTGGAACAAGCACAGTCACAGAAATCAGAATTTAAATGAGAAACTACCAAATAAATTTCTAAGGACGTAACACACGCACAAAAATCAGCTCATTTGCTTTTTGTATTTAAAGCTCTGTGCATCTGTGCATGTAAGTGTGTGCAGCAGAGGGCAAGGTTACCAAAATATCTCAAGCTTTTCTCAATGCAATGAGAGAATTCTAACGTGAAAACACTACGTACGTAGGCAGGAAAATCATAACGCAAACTCCCAGCTACGATTTTTTTTTTTTATGTGATGGGACAATCAATGTCGTTAAAAAAAATAAGAAGGCCAATGATGGTTAGGGTAAATTTGGCACAAGAAAGTCCAGTTGGGATTTCCGTAATGGATCCTGGTTTGGTTACAGTGGTGACGGGTTCCCGGGAATTACTCGGGGCTGGCTGACGACTTAAAAACCCCGGCGGCACCACGGGGGAGGCAGGGGCAAGGGAGGGTGCGTGAGGTCCGAACATCCGAGTGCTGCGCTCTGCTCACCGCGTCAGCTCACCTTGGCTCCCGTCAGCCGGCAGCTTTTCCTAACTACCTTACTCCTGGCCCTGTAGACTATACATTTCATCCCCTGCCAGCTCTTCAACGAGACACATTCAGAAAGAAGCTGGACAGGCTTTTTTGGCACATTTCAGGGTACTTGGAGGAGTGCGGACAGCTGCTGGGAACGGCGTCCCCCGGCCGGTCAGTGCACGAGACGGTCCGCTCTGCCGACGCAGAGAGCACGGGGTCTGGAGGAAAAGGAGGACCGGCCACCCCGACCCCTTACAGATAATTGGACGTAACGAAGGGATGATCTCCCCGCACGCGGCTCATGTGAATCATGGCTCGGTCGTATGCCACCTGCACAGACTTGCGAATGCTGGTTTTTCGTCCTTCCATCATCTTTAGCTTGTCCACTGTGTCATCCACGCCAAGGGGATAGACTTTGTCACGCGGAAGCCACTGCCTGCGATAGAAAGGAGAGCACAAAGCCCCGTCACCAAGGGCATCGAGAGGGGAAACGGGGAAAGAAGAGCAAACACCTGGGGGCCTCTTGCCCTTGCAACGCTATGCCTGAGCTCTCTGCAGGAGGCTGACTGCTCCGACGTGCCTGGCTCTCATACCTGCTGCAACAGGCCAAGGAGTTTGTCCTAAGCGTTTCCAAGACATGGCCAAGTACTCCCAGCTCCTCAAGCATTCCCCACGTGCCTCAGTTTGATTACTCACTAGTTGTCCTCTCCTCCCCAGGAGCAGCTACGTTCCTGTGATCTGTTTGTTTATAACTAACACCCCCCAGTGATGCTACAAACGTTGAAATGCCTGCATCTGACATGGAAGAACCACCTGGAGCCAAAATGTCTTCCTGCATGAGCACAGTTTTCTCTCTCCTTGGACTCCTTACTCAAGGCTTTCAATGCTCCTTGGAGCTCCAGGGGAAACATGGAAACTCCTGTGTTCCACAGAGCAGCAAATGCAGGGACTTCCATGGTGGAAAGTTAAGGTTTTATCCCCGAGAAAGCTCTGCCTTGTTCCAAGAGGCTGTAAGCATCAGGGTTTGGGTGACTACAACTCTCTGAGTATCATCCAGAAACATGCAGCTTCCAGTAGACACGTTCCAAGCCCAAGTTGACCCCAACAAACCAATGACTTAGATTGCAAGTGCCTTTTCTATAGCAAGTTTTTATTGTGCAGTCATTAGCCCAGGACAATTAGCACACTCAGAAACATGTCATCCTTCCTAACGAAGTCCAGCTCCTAGGAGTTAAATCTCAGCCACTGCTAGCACAGTTCAATGCATCTCCCAGCCAGCCAACAGGGGCAACCCAGGGCAGCTCAGCTTACGTTCACCACGAAAACGAGGGGCCAATTTCAATTTTTCCCTTCTGCAGCATCACTGAAGTCAGCAGAATTTGCATCTGGCACGAAGAGGGGTTTAGAGGACTTTCCTGAGGTGCCTTAGTGCCCCACAAACTGCAGTCAAGGCTCTAAGTGGCCACTTAAGAGTGTAAACATCCACCAGAGCTTGTCTTCAACGAGAGCAGGGCAAAGCCAAGGAAATGCTGATTTTTATTGGGAAGGTAGTTTCAATGACAAGTTTGGATTTAGATTTTTCAAAACTGATGACTACAGCACCAGGAAGCATGGCACTGCCATTGATTTTCAGCTAAAAATCATTAGTACCTCTTCGAAGAACATGCCCTGTATCAAGTGGTTCTGGTAATCGGCGGCAGTGGAACAACGCAGCGTACTAATAAAAACCTTGGGAGTGTGGCTCTTGGCACTTCTTTTGCCCAGAGGACACAAACATTCTCATCAAGTGAGGCAAACGTGGCTCCCTTCTCAGCTTCCCAAGAAGACGGCACACGCTTTTCCTTTGCCTGTGTTGCCTCCATCTCTTTAAACTGCATAAAACACTGCAGCAGCCCCAAAATGTAGGGGGAAAACACTCCCCCTTGCTGCTTTACCTCGTTGTGTGTTCAGCTCTGCTCTCTCTCCGTGATTGCACCTTCCCTCCGGCTGCGACACAGCCTCTGGGCAATGCTGGCCTCCTTCCTCCAGCCTCTCACCCTTCCCTGCTCTTATGGGAGATGCTCTCTCTGCCAGGGCTGCCTGGCTGCAACCTCACTCAAACCCCTTCCAGGGATGCCAGCAAAGACCTTCCCCGGGAGAACAAGGAGGAGAAGGGCTCTCAAAGTACCAGGAGGCTCCTTTTTAAGCTCTTGGTATCTTTAATTCATAGAGGCAGCAGCAGAAGAGCCAAGCCCGTTCTCTCCTCTGTTCCTATGTGCACCCCAACTGCCCAGCATCTGTATTTTCCGCAGTATAAACTCTCTGGATCTATGATCCCAGCTGCACACCTCTCACCCTGGGTGAGAATTTATTTGCTTGGTTCATGTTCCCACGTGGCATTTGCTGGTTAAATAATCCAGTGGGTTCAGCGTGCGGCTGCCTGCCTCATCATGGGGACTCACCTCTTCCGGCACAATGCTCCCATTTTACAAGTTTCCCATTGTTTCATACACGGATTTCAAAGCTTTATTGCTCATTTTCAAGGCACTTCACTGGTTTGTGGCTTATTATATCTGGCCGGGTTACCGTTACCACGTGAGCCTGGTCAGTCACTGATACTAAAATCAGCAGATTCAGTCTGTCTGAGACAGAATGGCAAAAGACCTTGAGGTATTTCACTTGCCCTGAGCCAGGTGCTTACACCTACATTTTCCATCTTAAATAAGTATCTTGATTTGAAAACTGTAGGTACTCAGCACCTCTGAAAAATCAGGCAAGTCTAAATATGGAATAAACCCAGCATTTTGAAAATGTTACCCTGGAGATTTTTGGCAAATCTTTTGTGCAGCAGTGGAACTGGCTGCTGAGTCTGCTTGGTTTTTTAAAAGTCAAATCCTCTCTCTAATTTGCTGCAGATTTTGACTACTAAATTGGCTCTTCATGTACCTCAGTATTTCTGTGGTGATGTGGGTGAAGTAATGCTGGGCTGTTCACCATGGAAGTGGAGCAGTCAGACATCATGCTCTTGGGCCAGGGAAAAGCAGGCTGGCTTCCTCATTTAGACTCTTCTTGACTGCTACATATTTAAATTCTCCAATTTACATGTAACACCATC